GAGTTGGAGTAGGACGAGTAGCTGCTCTGCCCGTGGCTGTAGCCCTTCTGCTTGCCCTGCGGCCCGCCGTAGCTGCCGTACTGGTTCTGGCTGTAGTTCTGCTGCTGCTGGCCCTGGTGGCTCTGGTACCCTGAGCCGTAGGACTTCTGCTGCCCGCCGTGCTGCTGCTTCTTGCCGCCGTGTTTGGGCGCCGCGGGCGAGCTGTAGCCATCGCCACCCTGGTAGTAGGAGCCGAAGCCCGAGGAGCCGCCGCCGCCCGCGTTGGAGTGGCCTCCATTGCTGTAGAACTGGCCTGGGGGGAGAGGGGGCATCAGGGGGGGTGCAGGATGGGGGCAGCATGGAGGGCAGGATGGGGGGCTGAGGATGGGGGGCTGAGGATGGGGGGCAGGATGGGGGCAGGATGGGGGCAGGATGGGGGCAGGATGGGGGCAGGATGGGGAGCAGGATGGGGGCAAGATGGAACATAGAATGGAGCACAGGATGGAAAACAGAACGGGGCACGAAGGCAGAACGCGTCCAAGGATCGGCTGACTTGGAAACGAAACGCCAGAGAACAGCACGAGTTGGGGGGAACCCAAAAGAACCTCACAAACGGGGCGGAACCATCACAGAAAATCCCACATGGGACTGAACCCAACACAGAGCCGCCCAGGAGGGACGGAAGGCATCGCGGAAAGGAGCGGGTTGGATGGAACCAGCACAGAACCGGCCAAACCGGGGGGAACCCATCAGAGAATGGCCCAAAGGAGATGGAACCCATCAGAGAACGGCCCAAAGGAGATGGAGCCCATCAGAGAACGGCCCAAAGGAGATGGAACCCATCAGAGAACGGCCCACAATGGAGAGGAGGCACAGGAGCATCCCTGCATCTCCTGCAGCACCGAACCGAGTGGGAAAGGAGCCGCCAGAGAGCGGCTGAAACGGGCCGGGGCCACCAGGAGCCGCTCAGCCGAAGCCATCGCAGAACAGCCCCCGCTGATGGACCCACAGCCCCCCACGTCCAACCCCCCACACGACCCCCAGGGCTCCCAGAGCTCCGCTGCGCCCCCGGCCCCACGGCGGCAGCACCGAAACGCTTTATGGACAGACAGCCGCCCTCCGGCACAGCCGGCAGCCGAGCGCGGCCGCACTGATGAGGAGGAACCTCGTTACCTAACGAGGAACGAAGCCAACAGCCCCACTGCCGCACCAGCAGCCCCCCATGCCGAGCTCTGGGGATGTGGGTGCTCAGCAGCACCCGATGTCACCGAGGGGACGCAGCGCAAAGCCTCAGCTGCTGCTCCGCCAGCAACGGCAGCTGGGGGTCGGGGGCCTCGGCTGGGGCTCTTGGGATTGGGCCCAAGGGGGGCTTTGGGTTGGAGCTGTGGGTTGGAGCCCATGATCTCAAGGACGTGGGTTGGGGCCGTGGGTTGGAGTCCAAGGGTTGCAGCCTTTGGGCTGAGGCTCTGGGGTTGGGGCTCCTTGCTGGGGGCTCTGGGGTTTTTGCGGGGTCTCGCAGCGCTCATTGCAGCCCAGCCACAGCCGAGGGCAGAGCTGCGCAGTTCTGCAGCAGGGCACCAAAGGGCCCCCAAAGGCCGAGGAGCCGAGCGGGGGCAGAGCTGCGCTCTGAGGACCCCCAACCCCCCATCCGCCCCCCACGTGCCCCCCCCCCCGGCTCCCATCACCCGGCCGTGGGTCCGCACAGAGAACCGCTGAAAGCACCGCGCTCCCGCCGCCGCCAGCAGTTAATTATCGTTAGGCAGCGCTAACGAGCCCCGCGGCGCTCGGCACCCCCAGGTCTTCCCGCGGCGCAGAGGCACGGACCCAACGCCCGGCGTTTATTAAAAGGCTCAAATCGATACAAAACCCGCTGGGAACGGAGACGTTTGGGAATTTAGGGGCCGTTAAAACGCTCCGCGTCCGCATGGCGATGCCGGCGTGGGGCCGAAAGGCTGCAAGGGATCCGCGCCACAAAAACAAAACGCCGGATGGGGGCGGGAGGAGCAGAGCCCCGTCCGTGGGGCAGAGCTGCTGCTGGGCGGCGACGGCGCGGGGCCACCGACGCTTTGGGGGCTGGAGGAAACGGGGGGATCTTTGGGGCTCGGCGGGGCTGGGAGGGTTGGGCGGAGTTGGTTGGGGGGCCGCGTGTTTGCGCAGCGCTTTGGGACGTCTATGGAGCCCCAAAATCATGAAAGCCGGAGCAGTCTGTGAAAAAGTCACCTACAAGAGGGGGAGACAGAGCAGAGAGAGGCATTAGATGGCGGAGGGGCGCAAGGCGCCACAACGAGCGCAGGCCGCTCTGCTCCTGTCCCCCCCCTGGAGGCTCCTTCAAAGACCAGCGCCGGGGGGCTCTCGGGGGTCCCCACCCAAAGCTGCCGGCTCCAACGGCAAAGAGAGACCAAAACCGACCCCGAAACCGACCCCAAAACC